TACAAGTTCAACAAATCTAGATAAAATGAACACATATAAATCATTTTCAGTTCTATAGATTTCTGAATACACAGTTCAAAATTCTATGTAATTCGAATTCGTTACATGATGACAATAATTTAGGAAAAACATTTTTGTAAAAAACAAATAAGCGATACTTACGATACGTGTTATTCAGCATTACGTATTTCTAACGTTCCAGCAGAATACTAACAATATTAAGAGTCTGAATTTGACTGGATTTGATCATTCAGATGAGAGACCTAAACTCCAAGGTTGGAATGGACATGATGAGGAGACATGGGCTGGGGAAAACAAATAAAAACTGTAAGCGATTCGTAAATCTATGTGCCTTCAATAAAATGCTTATAGGGGGTACCATATCCCTTTACAAACACATACACAAATGTTCACGGATTACACAAGATCACATCCGCATCAATAAAAAGTTCAGAAGGACCATGGAGAACGTAAGAATCAAGAGTAAAGCCGACATTACTTCAGATCATCACTTGTTATTGGCCAAGATGAGACTGAAACCAAAGAAGCTCTTTACAGCTGGATGAACAGCATCACAAAGTTTTAATGCGGCGTTTCCTAAGGATAGTAGCTAACTCGATAAATTCAAGACAGCTCTCGGCAACAACTTCCAGGCCTTTCATGATTTACTCAGTGGAGAGCAAATGGTAAGGGATCAAGGAAGCAGTCTCTTCAATACCTTGAGTTTCTGAGCCACAAGAAACGCCACCACGAGAAATGGATCTCTGTGGATAGTCTGGATAAGATTCAAGAAAGCAGTCAGTGTTCACCGAACAAGTGCAGAGAACGCAAAGGCCCCACATGAATACACAGAACACATACAAGTAGGTAAAGTGTAGCAGTAAAGCTTACAAATGCAAATAAGTGGAAGACCTAACAGTGATAGCACAGAAAGCTACAAGAGAATGAAACATAGGACAAATGCATAATACAACGATTAAACTTGCTGGGAAATATAGTAAACTAGGACAACCAGTGAAAAACAAGGAAAGCAAACTAATTACCGACATTGGAGAACAGCGAAATATGTAGTAACAGCACTGTGGACAACTCTTAAATAGACCAGCCCCACTGAACAAACCGAATATCGAAGTAGCACCTATGGACCTTGCAATAAATGCTGACGCACGAACAACTGAACAGATCAACATGGCCATGAGAGAAATCAAGAATAATAAAGCGGCAAGGTCAGACGATATACTAGCTAAAACACTACATTCAGATATAGCAGTAACCGCGAAGATGTTACACGCTCTGATCAGTAAGATTTGAGCAGAAAAACAACTACCAACTGACTGGAAAGAAAAACACTTCAATAAGATAATACAGAAAGATTTCAGCGAGTGTGAAACTGCAGAGACATCGATATACTCACGGCAACAGGAAACGCTTAAAACTGAGAGTTATTTAACAGAATGAAAGATTCGGTAAACGCCCAACTTCGAGATCAACAGGCCGGATCTCGTAAGGATCGATCACATACCGGCCAAATCGCGACACGACGGATTACTATGGAACAGTCAATTGAATGGAATCCATTGTACATCAACTTCGCTGACTACAAGAAAGCATTCAACAGTACGGACAGCATGATACTATGGAAGCTTCTTCGACACTACGGCGAGCCTGAGAAGGTTTTCATAGTCGTACGGAATGATCATGATGGACTATACAGCAAAATCGTGCATGGAAGGCAGCCCACAGAATCATTCCATTCGGCGACCGCTTTCAGACAAGGTTGATTACTCTCATCCTTTCTCTTTCTTCTGGTGGTCGACTGAATCATGAAAGCGTTAACATATCAGGAGAAGCATGAAAGACAGTGTACAACTGAATGATTTGGATTTGGCAGATGATTTAACTCTTCTATACCACACTAAGCATCAAATTCAGATAAACACGACCAATGTAGTAGCAGCCCATGCAGAAATAGGTCTCAATGTACAAAATGGAAAAGGCAAGATCCTACAACACTACACAGTATGAGCCAACCAAATCATATTTGACGAGGAGGCTTTGTAAGTTACGGAAACCTTTGGACACCCGACAAGTATCATCGACAAACAAGATGATTCTGATGCAGATGTAGAGACACAGATTTGCAAAATAAGGGCATTATTTCTATTTTCTGGAACTTAAAACAACTGTCAAACAATACTTGAGTCAGAATTTTCAGTATGAACTCCAAATGTGTTCTATTACATGGCGAAGAAAATTAGGTAACTACAAAAGCCTTTTTCCAAAATATACAGGTGTTTATTGACAGTTTTCTATGCAAAATATTGAGGATCCGTTAGCCAGACGCCAACAACAACAATCTAATGTGGACGAGAGCAAACCAGATTCTAACTGAGGGAGAGATCAAAGGAAAACATTGGAGGTGGATAGGATACTTATTATGGAAATCATCCGACTGTATCACGAGAGAAGCCTTAATTTGGAACCCAAGGAACACACTGAGCCGAGAAATAAAGGCATACATGATAAAAAAAAAATAGAGACTGGGTAGAATAGGAAAGGAAGGCGCAGGACACAGTAGGTTGGAGAATGCTGTTCGACGGCCTATTCTGTACAGAGGGAAACAGGAGTAAGTAAGTAAATAAATGTCTCTGAACACAAATGAGGATGAAAAGTCCATAGCTGCTGAACAATAGTAAAGGAAATCCAGTGAAAATTGTCATAAAGTGACCCGAGATTTCAAATATCAAAAGGAAGTTGCATAATCATCAAGGATTAAAAATTAATAGGAAGATGAGAATAGTTCAAGGTTCAGATATGTGAGAGGTAATTTCTACAAGACAGATATGACGATAGTGAAAAACGCAGATGCCATCATAACCATTGAATAATAATCGTGAAAAATAACAGAGGATATTAATAACCGATTACTGTTTAAAAATACAAATAATAATTACACAACATCTAATACACACTGGGAAAGGGAAATTAGTGCTAGGGAAGGATGAAAAGTGTGAACTGATCTTTTCTGAACGCATAGTTGGTGCTTGGATTGATGGATTCCCAACGCCTCAACAGCATATACATTTTTGACTCAATTCTTTTGATTGTATTTATTACTGTAGAGGATAACTCATCATCATCGTCATTCACACATTTGACTTTTCGAAAAAAACATTTACAATTTCATTTTTAATTTCACATCTATTCAACAACTGACTAACGTTCATTCCCTTGAATATGAGCTATTCATAACCATGAAAACATTGTTCTATTTTTCAATCAGTGAACTTTCCGCATCTCACTTGACTCATGTTATCCTACTCATTAAAATCAATATCTGAATATTTTTGGTCAATCATTTAGTGGACACTTGATTTAATTGTTAAACGCTATATATTCTTTGATTATTTTGATTTGAATTATTACTTTCCTGTACAAGTGTTCAGACGAGATAGCTAAGCAAAATATCCGTAAAATTTCACTCGTTGAAATTAATTCATACATAAATTTCACAAATAATGTATACTTTATTTTCAACGTTTAAACTTCTTACGACTTTCAAAACTTCTGATAATTCCAAGGAATTGTCGAAGGAATAACACAAACTCTAATCGACAATTTAACTCGTCTGTCAGTCTGATTTATAAATATAATGAGGAATTCAATTGCATTCATAAGCTAAGTACTGACTCTTCAAATAGAACTACACAAGAGTGATGATCTTGCATATTATTACGATTCAGCTGATAAACTACAACGGCTTAAAATGTATCTTAGTTCGCACTTCAAAATGAAATCTATTGATAACTATAAAACAACACTATTATAAACTATAGAAAACCATAATCCTAAACGATTTTAAGTTTGACTAAATGTGAGAAATCTTGCTAGATATTTATTCCAGCAAATGAACTTTAATATATATTAAATATTATGCTACATAAAGTAAGTATAAACGAGACTTAAAGTGCAAAAACTCTAATGTAAGATCCATTTTTGAAGGCCATGTTTGTGAAAATCCCTCCATGCATACATTTGTAATTTGTCCTTATTGATTCTTTCAGATCTAGATTTTGTTAGTCTGTTCGATTCCATTTGAGATGATAATATTTGTATTTTATTTTTAGTTTCTATTTCTTTTGCCTTCACTGAGTTTCTACGTTTCTTTCTGAACTGCATTTATATTGTATAAGCTGTTAGTCAGTCATGGCAACAGCCATGTTGATTTGTTCCTCTTTTGGTTGAGTCGCTTGTACGGACTGGAACTGTGCATTTTGATTGTGAATTGAATCACTCTTCCAGAATAGGAAAAACTGGGTGTTATATAGCAACCAAACATTATCTGTCGAACGAATCTGATATATCCAGGAGGGATAGAATATCATTTATTTGAATAGTTGAACAATTACTGGTGGAATAACTGAGTGGTAATATTGTTTAGGTATTAATGTATATTTATATTTATGATGAAAATTAGAACCGTTATTTATCTAAATCACTTGTTTTGGATTTAAACTGGGCAAGACGCGTACCTAAACTGCCTGGACAGTTATTCCTCAGTCCAAACATCAGTCTGGATCCTACATGTAAAGTTACATCTTTGGTAGATTTGAGTTCAAACTGAAGGTACCTGGTGTATCGCACAGTGAAAGGATCATTTTCAGAAAGCTTAGAGGGAAAAACAAAATTCGAAAAGTAAGCGGACGACTCGGTAGACACAGAACCTATAGCTATTCGAGAATCTACTGTTCTTACTAGTTGATTAGGTGGACTTTTACTATTCCTTAATGTACTATTTGATGCTTGCTAATAGTTACTCTCAATCGTATTCCAAATAAACCACACTCTGTCTCTTTTTGGTCAGGTAGTATATGACAATGAATTGAGATAAAAACGGTAATGAAAACACTATAGTATGCACATTCATTCATTTATTAAATAAAATAAAAGTACATAAAATTTCCAATCGGCATATCAGTACTTTAAATCTACTGTGAAATTCAAAGAAGGAACTTTGAAATAACAAATGGAGCAATAGTGAAAACAATTGGACATCCTAAAAGACAAAAAAATAACAAGCGATTAACAAACAATACAATTTTTAAAAAAAATGTAATTATTATCTTAAAATTCCAACTTCAAACTCTTATTCAATGATCCCAGTTAGTCATTCTGTTCACTTATATATAGAATAAAAAATCAAACAATACAATAATTCATTTAGTCAAAGTTTTCGTCATCTAACACAGTTGATTAAGCTGTTTTGTATAGCGTTATTGTTTTACTTTACTGGAAGCTCTAATTACTGCTAAATTGTAATGCATTAGTAAAGAAGTTTGTTCTGTTATGATGAGCAAATAATAATTTGTGGATATGATATTGGTATTTTGACTTGATCTTTATCTGACTAAAATATGAAGTATGAATATATTTTTTTGATATCATGATAAAACTGATTGCATATGACAAATAAACGATTCGGTCAATTAAAAAATGGAATAAAACCGGAATTATATGATGTAAATATTATTTATTATAGTGAAACATACCGATAATTAAAGTTGATGATGATGCTGTTAATCGTAAATATATTAATACAAAACATAAAGTTAAAAAAACCGTTAATTAAGCAATAAAATTATACGTAAGCTAATAGACATAAGGTAAAAACAAATAGAATATCAAACAACCGACACTGGACTTTCCATAAACCATCGATTATTGTCAATAATATAACTAATTATTGATAGCCTATATCATTTGCTGTGCTAAGCTAAGACATCATAAACATTTGGAGAGGTATATATTAAAGTATTAATTTAGTCAGAACACATATAACATCCCTTACAAAGTCAGCCCAAATGAAACGGTAAGCTATTTGGCCACTGAGTTGGAATTGAATCGACGCCATCTTGTAAATGGAGTTAACTATCTCTATGTATAGACAGCTGCATTACTCCCTATGTGGACGGGTAGAGTATTGTTAGATGATAGAGTATTGTTAGCTGATCACTGGACTACAGGTAACAATAATTATTGAGTTCGTCAACAGTGATACCTTCACTTCTATGACGTTTTGTAACAGACATAAAATCTTGTGATTAATAAGGAATAGCAGTATGGTTTAATCTGATGATTAACTGTTTTGGATTTTTCAAGACTTATGTACCACAGATAAAATTAATAAATCCTGACCACGTCGTTCTTAAATATAATTGAAAGTAATCTATAAAATCGCTTTCGATTGATATTCTGTGTATATGAAAGTGAGGAGTCGCTGTAACAATAAAGCATGAGAAATAACTATGCATTTTCTTACATTTGGCTTTCTTATCTTTTTTGTATGAAGCTGTTCAAAATATAAACATAAAAGTAATCAAACAAAAATGCAAACATTGACAAGTATTTTTATTAGTTTCGTCAATTGTAAAATATATTTCCGCTAGTAAAAAACGTATAAATTTGATGAGAATGTGATTCGGTGTACAAGCTTGTGATGCCGTTTTACCTTTTCATTAAGTGAACTTCATAGTTTCAGACTATAAAAATCATAGATTTATTTCAGATAGCTTCATTAATAAACCATTTTAATATTCATTTTATACTGATAAGCATCTTTTTGTGTTTGGCTTTGTAAATGTATAGATGACATATAATAGTCAACAGACTGTTCTGTGTGTTGAATGAACATAAAGAGAGATGTAATCAATTGTCTTCATATTTGTTAATACTCGCCCGTTGTATAAATATTAGTTTGAAGTAAAACCATTCATAAAGTAATCACAGGTTGCATTTATTTTCATGTAAAAGCCTATTTTAAAAAAAATTATATGCTTCGGAATACAACGTTACGCTTTACACTGCTTCCATTATGAACTAAAAATATTGTTTAGTCATTAGTATTTCAAACGACATCGCTATTCAGACAAAGTAACATGATGTTATTGAATGTTCAAACATAATAATTCGCACAAAAATATATTTCAAACTCACATCTTTTATGTCGTTTTTCGTCATGCACTGGAAAAACATAGAAACTCATTAGCAAAGTATGCGCTATAATGGAAGTAAGTGTACATTGCCAACTCATTTCAAAGGTATACTTACAATGACAATAAAAAAAATACTTCTTAAAGATGAGGAGAGTTTATGAAACCAGCAAACTTTTAGAAGCTATATCAAGTACACTGATACGGACCGTGAAAGATTTCCTTTAGTTATATCATTGTATGTATGTCAAGTCTACATGGTTTATTGTAGCTTTTCAAAAATCCATTGAATCTATTCTTGACATTGTTAATTATTTGCTTATAATCTTGGTTGTTTTCATCTGAGCGTGTGCTTGTATCCGTAACCCAGATGATCACATATGTTAAGTTAATCTTTATCTGACTATAAATAGTTAGTTAAACCTGATCAATTGAAGTTGGTCTACTCATCTTCAGTTCAATTTTATGTTCCTCAATCTAATATCTATCTTGTTGGCGAGTTGGTGAAATAAATTCACCCACACCTCATCTTGTATTTGGCTTTTCATTATCACCGTCGCTCAAACTGTATTAACCAAGTGTAGTATGAGAAATTAAAGTGGAAAATTTAGTTTCATAAAATATTTATTCATTCATCCCATGTGGAGTCTGTTTTTCAGGCTGTTAAAATATATATGTATAAGGTGTTAAAGATCTCTATACACGGTTGGAACAGAGTTTCGATTTATATGTTCGTAATAGATTAGACGGACTATGGATGAAAAATCTTGGGATTAAACTTAATGCATACAATTTACTTTCCATTTAAATAATTGTCAAATATCATTTTATGTACCCCAAAATCTTCAATGTACAATGAGAAACAATTTATGTTTGAGAGATGCTTCTTTAACAGCTTTTTGCTATGAATATTCTGTAACTGTATCTATTACCCAGATAATAGAAGAGTAATGATAAAAAGCTGTACTAATATAAGATATAAGGCAAATCATAAGATAATACTCATTTCGATTCAGTTAGTTGTTTGGTCAGTAATTGCATTCTGTACAGAAACTGAGTCAATAAAGTTGCATCAATTATAAAACATTTTGAAATGAAATGATCTAAATTCTTACATTTCGGTTTATTTTCTTTGAACGAAAAAAGTTGAACAGAAAAAAATCATTAACATTATATGATTAATAACAATGAATGAACAACTTAAATTATTAAAAAAAAATAATTTCAATTTCCACGAATGTGAAAAGGGGACATTTGACAGAATTACAAGGTCTTGAGTTTTTGTTCGAAAAACCGGATTGTTTGAGTGAATTATTGGCAAGATTTTGAGCATTACTTGTTGAGACAGATAAATGTTGAGTATTTTTTTAATAAGTGTGTTTGTTAGCAAACTAATAAACTAATATGTCGTATACTTTAGATTACAATTACTGTACGTTCACGTAAACATTTATAACGTATTATGACACACATGTATTCATTTGAAACGATTAACAATATTTAGTTGAGTTCCATGTGGTTAATTCAAAAACTTTCTTCAGATATATTATAATCTTTGTTATTGTTGAAGAATGTTAGTTAAAGTTATGCTTATTATGCATAAACGCATCTTACAAAGAGTTAGCAACATTGAATCTATGCATGGCTTAACTACAAAATTATCCAATTAATTTAACTTGTATTTAAGTATAAATAAAAAATTGTAACAATATCATTCAATTTCTTACTTTCTACTTTCTTTGGCTTCTGCGTTGGTGTTTGATTCACGGAAATGCTAATTAAAGTAGCTGAAACAATTCATAACAAGTATTTTAAACAAAATGAAAGCCACATTAATTTTGTAAAATGAGATTATGTTAAAATAGGTTTATCCAGTTAAAAATACCTATTTTATATTCTTTTTTTTTAAATGTAAACTGTCATTATGAATACTTGTATTATCTGAAAGTTAATCCACTTTCTTCACTGAAGTTAAATTATTTCAAACAAACTAATTGTATTGAATGCGATCATTTTTTTAAATTTGATTTGTTTCAATATACGTGATTATTTTCTTTCATGTTTCACACTATTAAGAGGTAAGTTTTCCATATAAAATTAGATGTAAATAACATGACTATAATTAGCAAATTAGCAAATTCTTTTAAGAGATACTTTTTTCTTTCCAATTTATTCTGTCCAAATGTAGAAATTATTAATCAAAAACACTTTCATTTCACTAATGGATGTCATTATGAAAATTTAAATAGCACAAATCTGTTTTTCAATGATGATAATCATATAGTATTCTGTTAGATTAATCTAAAAATCCACATGCCATATGAAAAATCAAACATCCGCTTTCCTAATTCTTCAGTTTGAACTTCATAAAATATTCTAACCAAACTAATAACTTACCAGGCTTTTTATCCAATACTACCCGTTCTGTGCAAAAAGAGCAAGGAAGACAATTATTATGTAATTAAATTGAATGGTAGAAGCATATTTTCAAAACTATTGAATTGAAAGGAATTGATAGTGTTAAAGAATGTTTGTTGAGTATGTCAAAATTGTTATTAAAACAAATTAAAATTTCACAAACTCCTCCGTTAAACAATTTCAACTAATATCACATGAAACATAGGACTCCACCAATTCAAAATATATTAAAATGTTTAGATATCAGAATTATTTCATCTGAACACATCTAGTTTTGAAATATAATACATGAATTTTTTTTATATCTACCTAATACTCTACATTTTATTCAGTCATATTAATGATATACGCTGATAGATAACATACTTGCTGATAAAGTGATCATGACTACTATTACTGCTACAATTTTCATCAAGTTAATCATTAATCGAAATAAATTAATACTATTTAACCGAATTTCGCTCACCTTTAGATGATTCATCCCCAATGTCACGGGGCTCTGAAAAATGGAATCAATTGAGTTGATGGGTAATAAAACTATAATAAAGTAATCTAATTTAAGTGTTTAACGAAAATGACTTTTCAGTAGTAATAATTTTGATTATGATTGCACAATAAAGTATTTTTTCTAATACAAAACTTTTTAACATACCCGGTACACCGCTTGCCACATCGAAACAGACAAACACAACTACTGCAACAAATAAACTACTCTGTAATACATTGAAGTTTTTCATTACCAACATATCTGTAATATTTTAACTTACAAAAAGAGTATTCATTGTTCTTTTTGGTATTTCTTGTCGAAACTGGCATTTATTCACTTGAAATATCATCGATTCCCGATTAGATTTGGATTAAAATAAATGTATTTGTGTTCGATCATTTATTGATATCGTATTAATGAAATCTCCCATAAGTCGTTCATAAAATACGTGTCAATTTTACATATAATATACTTGTTACACCCATATTGGTTCTAAATAGGTGACCTTAACAATCAATAAATGTGTTAACAGTTAATTAATCAAGTGAATAGTCAGAGTTGAGTTTCTGTGACAGCCAGAACTATTCCTATAACTATTATCCAACTAATATTGAACTGCTAATTTAATTGACTTTCATGATTGATAGTTGTATGTCAGGTATTTAAAACTCCCATGCAATTTTTGAAATAAGAGCATATTTATTGTTAACAGTTATCAACATTATTCTCAAATCTTAAATGAATTACATGTTTATTATGATGATTATGATCATGATCGAGTTATAATTTACTCACAGTCAATCTATGAAGTCTACATTTAAGTAGATCTTAATGTTCTGGATGTACATATTTCAGAATCTGGCATGACTAATTTTTAGAAAACACAACAGACTACCGATCCAAACAATCGTTTGTGCACCTAAAAGGTGACGTTGATTCGTATGCAGTAGCCAGAACTTATCGGTTAGAATGAACATGTCACATTTATGAGTTGACCAAGCAGCAAATAGAACATTCACAAAAGAATACCAAATCTCATAAAATGCTTGGCACCTGCTATTCAAGTATGCATGTACAACCTTTCATTCTTTACAAAAAATTTATGAAGACAAATCTTACTAGTATTTACCATATTTGACTCCATATTTTGGTTCATCAAATCTTGGTTATCTAGCTTACTATACAGATGACTCGTAATTGCTGGAAATGCAGTTGACCGACGTTGGCAAACAAGTTGACAGCATTTTATCTCAGTGATTACAATGATTTTCTGAAGCACTGAAAACTACGTTACATTACAGGTTATATAACAACTGGAACATCATATCAATCGAGTCGGTGTTCTCATTTTATATTCAACAGGTCATATCATTATCATAACTCTGAAGTACGATGTACTTTCCAGTTTCTGATGGCTTCGTAGTAGTAGTAGTAGTAGCAGTAGTAGTTCAAAATAATATAATACTTATAATAAAGTTCCATGTAATATCTTCAATATTTTACCTGAATTGGTATGGATATCAGTTAACATTTTGGATCATAGTTTACTCTGAGGATGTACTGGCAGAGCGCCTAATACTTCGGCAAATGTGAATAGTATTATTAATAGTGCATTCTTAAATGCATCAACTCTAAATTTAGATGCAAAGGCCTCACATGGAATGTTAATTACCCTAAAATAAACTGGCATACCAGTTATGCTCAGTCAGTTGATGATGAACTCTAAGCAACAGTTAACAAACACTGTTGGTCATAGTGACTTCATTTCCCAACAAGACAAGACAATATAGTAAAATATTTTGTGCAGATATATAATAATTCTTTGAAATGAATTTAAAAGTAACGTACGAAAAACTTCATACAATATAACACACCATAAATCAGGAAGTAAGAGTGACATAAACAATTATCAGCCCATAAATATTACTCCTGTTATCTATAGGATAATGGAAAGAATTCTTGGTGAAGAACTTGATCAATATTTACTCGCTGAAAAACTTATCACTAATTCTGAACATCACTTTCCTAAAAATCGTTTTTGTATGATATGCTATTTTGACATTTTCAGTTTAGTCTTTCAACAGAACAAAGGACACTGAGTCTGTGTGCCTTAATTCAACTTTTTGAAAGCTTTGACATTGTTAACCACCAGCTTCTTATAAGCAGGCTTACAAACTTGGAAAAACTCTGCTTGCTTAGTTTAACTCTTTCCTCGATTACCGACACCTAATAGTCAAAATAAAATCCGCCTTATTGGATATTGTCCCGGTCAAAAGCGGGATAATACAGAGTAGTGTCTTATGTTTCTTGCTCTTTTCAGCTTACATAAAAGATATTTGCGATTTCTTCTGTATTGGTTCCCCCTTCATTAGCTGAACAATATGAAAAACTCTATCAATATGGAACTGAATCAAGTTGCCCAGAGGTGCCCAAAATGAATGTTGCGGTTTCACACTCTCGTATGTGGATTGATTTACCCTAGTGACACTTTATTCTACCTAAACCTATCCATCAATAATAAGGTGCTTCATAGAGCATTTGACTTAGGTGGTGGTGGATTCAAGTACTCCTATAATTTGTCCTAAGAACATGTACCTAAACTAACCTCTATGTCTCAACGTCTTGTGAGTTTATAGTGAAGTATCATTCTCTGAGCTAGATTTTTTGGTTGTAGAGCTTTCATTGTTCTTTTGAACAACATCATCAACACATACTTCAAATAGAAGTGAAGAATTAGAATTTCTCCACGCATGACTTGTACTTTGTCTTGTGGACCTCATTATTGATTGGTTGTTATTGCCTTCTAAGCTATTAATGTCTACATCTTTATTTGATAGTATCCCCCTTTGATTTGTTCCATGATCCTGTGCTTATCTATGATATGAGTTACAAATTCTTTCCACCGACTTCTGGATTTAACACTTTGTAATTTCTGTAAGGATCATTCACGTATTTTAATATAAAAAATTTTGTGTTCAACCACGTACAAACCACTGCACGTTTATTCTCAGAAGTGTTTTCATAAGGGATAAATTACAGAAAAAATACGTTCAGAGAAAATTTACATAACTCATTCTTGGAATTAATTGTACTTTAAATCATAATTCTAGATATAATAAACTTGGATTCGATCCTTTATGAAACAGGAGACTTAAACTAAATCTCACCATTTTCTTCAAAACACTGATTAGACTATATTTTACATTCAGTGAAGTAATTCGATATGTAGAAACTCCTAGTTAGTGATTCCATAACTCTTGGTCATTTGCAATACATTCTCATTATATCTCTTCTTTTTGAGTGAACTACTTTACCAATGGATTGTCGATAATGTGAAAGAATTTGCAACAATCTGACGTAAGATAAAATTCATTCTCATACTTCATTTGCTGCATTGAAGCTTATTTCTCCAACAAAAAATGACTTAACTATGCATACAGCTGAAAGTAAATCCCATTCCACAAGTGAGAGTATATGAACTCTTAATGCTCAATCGTTTTATTACTGAGCCTACTAATTAACCTCCCCACACGCAGATGCTTTACACTAACACTGTGTCCTATCAGTCTAATTTAAAATAGTATCTGGCTTGAACATTAGATCATAAAATAACCCTTTACTTGGATCATAGTAGACTTGATGGATCTGACTGACTTATCTTTCTAAGCACTGCTTTCGTTCTCCCCTGCTCTCTTCAATGTTCATTTTCTCTGGTCAGTCAGTCAGTCAGTCTGGTTGTAGATGGTGATAACCAATGACCTATCGAACTGGAAACGATACTAAATACACCGTTCATACAGCAACAGGATGTCGAGTGAAAAAGAATTAATAGTTCCTGTCCGAAGGCTTGCATTACTGTAATACATGTTAAAGCATACTTCTTCAACAATTTTCGAAATGGAATACTTCAAATAATCTAACATTACCTATCTATCCTCCACATTTAACATTTCTGTCTATTCCAAGTTGACCATGCTTGTAAACTGGCATCACTTCCGTAATTATCATTTTCCGAATATATATATATATATATATATATATATATATATATATATATATATATATACTAAGCACCATAATCCTAGATAAGAATCTTCTTTTCCACATTTATCGTGATTACTGTTAATGGTGTTATATAAGGTAGCTCACATCACTTTTAACTTCAACTTAAAATAATAATGTAGCAGAACTTCTTAACCGTACTTTTGATTATATTTTTAGCATTTTTAGCATGAGGAGTTAATATTGCGTTTAGTCAAATTATTGAACATGTACCTAAGGGGCTTCAAAATCAGTTAGCGTTAGATGAGCCGATAAACGTGGTAAATAGACAAACATGTTCATCGATCGCAAAACACCTAATTTAGATAGGGCATAAGATTGACATCAATATAGCCCTCAAATGTTGAAGGACGAATTATGAGGTTTATGGAAGCCTTGGCTAGTCGTAAATTAAAACCCACCTTATGTGTACAGAAACAGTTTGTTATAACCTTGAATTTACACTGGTCATCTTTAATCCGAGGGTAATGTGACGATTTCCTTCCCTTTCTTATTCTTTTCATATTACGTTAATTTTCTCTCTCCTTTATTCACAATTATCACCTTATGTCTATTTGAACTTTTATTTAATTAACCTTAGATTAATCTTCATTTAAAATGCCTTGACTAGTATATGTCTGATCAGACTGTTCGAAATGTATAGCGTGAATACATCACATTTTTCAGATCAGTTACGCCTTCTCACTGTTCTATCATAAAAACGATTGGTTTCTTGTGATACATGAAACAGTGTTATACTGCAGTATAGTATGTAACCTTGTGTACCAGGCAACACAGTTCCTTTGTATACTTATTGACTTTGTGAATCAACAAACGGCAGTACTTTTTACAGTCTCATTAGTAAAAATCCATAATTACTTCACGATTTGAAATACACGGTAAGGATTTCTGTGTCCCTGAATTTTTAAAGAAATATTGATGAGATATGATGTTTTAGCCACTGAAAGGTTAACTGCCATCCAACCCCTTCCACTTTGAGGTTCGTTGTCTATGTTTTTAGCCAATATTACTATCAGCACACACTCAGGAACACGATTGGTCATTTAGGCACAGACTCGTAATTTAACTATAATTTATTTTATTCGAAATAAAAAAGATAGATTCGTAAGCTTAAGATCAGATCTATGCAAGGTTATCACATCACTAGGGTATCAACTATGATTTTAAATACGAAGCATATTACATGATTTTTTTTTCATTGACTAATATTTTTATTTTGTTTTCACTAAAGGACATTACCTAATTACTGTCCCTTTTTAGATCAAGTTCAATATACTCAAACACTAA